CCCTGCCCTGCCCTGCCCAACCCAGCCCATCCCAGTCCCCTCCCCGGACACAAAGAGGCACACCGAGGGCATTGTCCACTTTTAATTGTTGTCAAAGGTTGTCTGGATGCATAACACTGTCACAAGGGCACAGAGCAGCGTGGTGCCGGCCGGGCCCGGGGACACTGGACACACGGACATGCGGGGGAACGTGGGCACCGGGAGCTGTGACACGGCTTCCCCCCAGCCCCGAGCCCCCCAGAGCATCCCCACGCCCGGCCGGCTCTATTTACAGTATTCACAGACGTTGTACCCAGCGAGTTAAATAACTACATCATTACACCACACGTCTGGGGCGGCTCCAGCGGGCTGCGAGGGTGGGCTGTCAGTCTGATAAGGTGCATATTTAAAATAAAAAAAAACCAACAAAACGAAATAAAAACGAGAACAAAGAGAGGAGCCAGGCATCCTCGCTGGGGCCCTGCAGCCCCCGGGCGCCCGGGAGGAGCAGCGAGGCTCGTGTTGTGACGACAGCTACAGATCTGCGTGGGCCACCGGGGTCAGGGCACAGGCACTGGCTCCTGGGGACATCAGCCAGGCCCTCACAGCACCTCTGTGGGTGGGGAGAGCGCTGTGAGCTTGGGGTGCTCACAGCAGCGTCCCCCCACACCCCTCCTGCTGCTCACCTGTCACCTGCGGCGGCTTCACCACGGCCTGCTTGAGGAAGGGCTCCTTGTCGCCAAAGGGAATGATGCTGCCGGGGCTGCCACCATGGTGGGAGAGATCCCGCAGCTCCTTGGAGCCCTCACTGCCCGAGAAGCCGTTCTCGTGCTTGCCGGGCTGCACGCCGTTCACCAGGGCTGCTGCCTCCTTGGAGCTGTGGGATGGGAGGGCTGGGCTCAGCCCCGGCCCTGCCACCCCCCAGCTTCCCCCCAATGTACCCACGGTGTCTCACCTTGGCTGCAGCCCCTCGCCCACCAAGCCCTTCGTTCCCCCCGGCGTCCCTGCACTTGGGGTCTCCATCTCTGGGAGCTCCTCTGCCTTGGGGATTGGCCCCAGGTGCTTCTCACGGCCTGAGGACAAGGCAGAACCCGGCTCAGCCATGGCCCAGGCCAGAGCATGGCCAGGGGGAGCAGCCCGGGCTGTCCACACACCTGGGACATCTTCCTGTTGGGCTGCTTTCCCGTTCACCACCTTCTTGTCGTCCTTTTTCTGCAGGGACAGGAGAGCTGTGAGGGGCTGCAGGCAGGGCCAGGAGGGCTCTGTTGAGTGCCCAAGTCCCCAGTGCCCCAGGACAGGGGACAGGCTCCCACCTTGGTGTCTGCTGTGTCCGACTTGCGCGTCCTCTTCATGATCTCCTCCAGGCGCTGCGGTCACACAGGGACTCACACACGGCCCTGACCACCCAGACCTGCCCCAGGCAGGCAGGATCCCTTCCAGGGAAAAACCTGCCGTGCCCCATGCCTGGAGATGCCCCCCAGCCTCACCTTCTTCCTCTCCAGCCGCTCCTGCTCCTCACGCTGGAAGTGCTTCTCCCTCTCCAGGCGCTGCCGCTCAGCCTCTTCGCGTGCCCGCGCCTCGGCCTCTTCCTTCTGTGCCACAGCAGGGCAGGAAGGGATGAGATGTGATGGGGGAAAGGGATGGGGCAGGGACTGTGGGGATGTGCTGCCCGGACAGTTCAGCACAGCCCTGTCCCATGTTCCCTCCTGCCACCCTGAGCCTTGAGGGGCTGGTTCTCACCAGAGTGAATCACAGCAGAACATCCCCACCTTCCTCCTCCATCCCTGCCTTTGTCCCCCACTCCTGCAGCCCCTTTCCCTCACACTGTGTCACCCCCACCTGTCTCTGCAGCCGCTCCACCTCCTCTCGCTCAGCCCGGGCTCTCTCCTGGGCCTCTCGTTCCTCCTGCAGCCGCC